GATTCCATAGCATTGGACCATGGCAGTAAGTAAGGTGTCAAACCCTGCCTGATCTTGGAAGTTAAGCAGGATCAGCCCTGGTTGAGACTTGGATGGGGACCACCAACAACAACCAGGATTCCATAGCATTGGACCATGGCAGTAAGTAAGGTGTCAAACCCTGCCTGATCTTGGAAGTTAAGCAGGATCAGCCCTGGTTGAGACTTGGATGGGGACCACCAACAACAACCAGGATTCCATAGCATTGGACCATGGCAGTAAGTAAGGTGTCAAACCCTGCCTGATCTTGGAAGTTAAGCAGGATCAGCCCTGGTTGAGACTTGGATGGGGACCACCAACAACAACCAGGATTCCATAGCATTGGACCATGGCAGTAAGTAAGGTGTCAAACCCTGCCTGATCTTGGAAGTTAAGCAGGATCAGCCCTGGTTGAGATTTGGATGGGGACCACCAACAACAACCAGGATTCCATAGCATTGGGCCATGGCAGTAAGTAAGGTGTCAAACCCTGCCTGATCTTGGAAGTTAAGCAGGATCAGCCCTGGTTGAGATTTGGATGGGGACCACCAACAACAACCAGGATTCCATAGCATTGGGCCATGGCAGTAAGTAAGGTGTCAAACCCTGCCTGATCTTGGAAGTTAAGCAGGATCAGCCCTGGTTGAGACTTGGATGGGGACCACCAACAACAACCAGGATTCCATAGCATTGGACCATGGCAGTAAGTAAGGTGTCAAACCCTGCCTGATCTTGGAAGTTAAGCAGGATCAGCCCTGGTTGAGATTTGGATGGGGACCACCAACAACAACCAGGATTCCATAGCATTGGGCCATGGCAGTAAGTAAGGTGTCAAACCCTGCCTGATCTTGGAAGTTAAGCAGGATCAGCCCTGGTTGAGACTTGGATGGGGACCACCAACAACAACCAGGATTCCATAGCATTGGACCATGGCAGTAAGTAAGGTGTCAAACCCTGCCTGATCTTGGAAGTTAAGCAGGATCAGCCCTGGTTGAGACTTGGATGGGGACCACCAACAACAACCAGGATTCCATAGCATTGGACCATGGCAGTAAGTAAGGTGTCAAACCCTGCCTGATCTTGGAAGTTAAGCAGGATCAGCCCTGGTTGAGATTTGGATGGGGACCACCAACAACAACCAGGATTCCATAGCATTGGGCCATGGCAGTAAGTAAGGTGTCAAACCCTGCCTGATCTTGGAAGTTAAGCAGGATCAGCCCTGGTTGAGACTTGGATGGGGACCACCAACAACAACCAGGATTCCATAGCATTGGACCATGGCAGTAAGTAAGGTGTCAAACCCTGCCTGATCTTGGAAGTTAAGCAGGATCAGCCCTGGTTGAGATTTGGATGGGGACCACCAACAACAACCAGGATTCCATAGCATTGGGCCATGGCAGTAAGTAAGGTGTCAAACCCTGCCTGATCTTGGAAGTTAAGCAGGATCAGCCCTGGTTGAGATTTGGATGGGGACCACCAACAACAACCAGGATTCCATAGCATTGGACCATGGCAGTAAGTAAGGTGTCAAACCCTGCCTGATCTTGGAAGTTAAGCAGGATCAGCCCTGGTTGAGATTTGGATGGGGACCACCAACAACAACCAGGATTCCATAGCATTGGGCCATGGCAGTAAGTAAGGTGTCAAACCCTGCCTGATCTTGGAAGTTAAGCAGGATCAGCCCTGGTTGAGATTTGGATGGGGACCACCAACAACAACCAGGATTCCATAGCATTGGGCCATGGCAGTAAGTAAGGTGTCAAACCCTGCCTGATCTTGGAAGTTAAGCAGGATCAGCCCTGGTTGAGACTTGGATGGGGACCACCAACAACAACCAGGATTCCATAGCATTGGACCATGGCAGTAAGTAAGGTGTCAAACCCTGCCTGATCTTGGAAGTTAAGCAGGATCAGCCCTGGTTGAGACTTGGATGGGGACCACCAACAACAACCAGGATTCCATAGCATTGGACCATGGCAGTAAGTAAGGTGTCAAACCCTGCCTGATCTTGGAAGTTAAGCAGGATCAGCCCTGGTTGAGACTTGGATGGGGACCACCAACAACAACCAGGATTCCATAGCATTGGACCATGGCAGTAAGTAAGGTGTCAAACCCTGCCTGATCTTGGAAGTTAAGCAGGATCAGCCCTGGTTGAGACTTGGATGGGGACCACCAACAACAACCAGGATTCCATAGCATTGGACCATGGCAGTAAGTAAGGTGTCAAACCCTGCCTGATCTTGGAAGTTAAGCAGGATCAGCCCTGGTTGAGACTTGGATGGGGACCACCAACAACAACCAGGATTCCATAGCATTGGACCATGGCAGTAAGTAAGGTGTCAAACCCTGCCTGATCTTGGAAGTTAAGCAGGATCAGCCCTGGTTGAGACTTGGATGGGGACCACCAACAACAACCAGGATTCCATAGCATTGGGCCATGGCAGTAAGTAAGGTGTCAAACCCTGCCTGATCTTGGAAGTTAAGCAGGATCAGCCCTGGTTGAGACTTGGATGGGGACCACCAACAACAACCAGGATTCCATAGCATTGGACCATGGCAGTAAGTAAGGTGTCAAACCCTGCCTGATCTTGGAAGTTAAGCAGGATCAGCCCTGGTTGAGACTTGGATGGGGACCACCAACAACAACCAGGATTCCATAGCATTGGACCATGGCAGTAAGTAAGGTGTCAAACCCTGCCTGATCTTGGAAGTTAAGCAGGATCAGCCCTGGTTGAGATTTGGATGGGGACCACCAACAACAACCAGGATTCCATAGCATTGGGCCATGGCAGTAAGTAAGGTGTCAAACCCTGCCTGATCTTGGAAGTTAAGTAGGATCAGCCCTGGTTGAGACTTGGATGGGGACCACCAACAACAACCAGGATTCCATAGCATTGGACCATGGCAGTAAGTAAGGTGTCAAACCCTGCCTGATCTTGGAAGTTAAGCAGGATCAGCCCTGGTTGAGATTTGGATGGGGACCACCAACAACAACCAGGATTCCATAGCATTGGGCCATGGCAGTAAGTAAGGTGTCAAACCCTGCCTGATCTTGGAAGTTAAGCAGGATCAGCCCTGGTTGAGATTTGGATGGGGACCACCAACAACAACCAGGATTCCATAGCATTGGGCCATGGCAGTAAGTAAGGTGTCAAACCCTGCCTGATCTTGGAAGTTAAGCAGGATCAGCCCTGGTTGAGATTTGGATGGGGACCACCAACAACAACCAGGATTCCATAGCATTGGACCATGGCAGTAAGTAAGGTGTCAAACCCTGCCTGATCTTGGAAGTTAAGCAGGATCAGCCCTGGTTGAGACTTGGATGGGGACCACCAACAACAACCAGGATTCCATAGCATTGGACCATGGCAGTAAGTAAGGTGTCAAACCCTGCCTGATCTTGGAAGTTAAGCAGGATCAGCCCTGGTTGAGACTTGGATGGGGACCACCAACAACAACCAGGATTCCATAGCATTGGACCATGGCAGTAAGTAAGGTGTCAAACCCTGCCTGATCTTGGAAGTTAAGCAGGATCAGCCCTGGTTGAGATTTGGATGGGGACCACCAACAACAACCAGGATTCCATAGCATTGGACCATGGCAGTAAGTAAGGTGTCAAACCCTGCCTGATCTTGGAAGTTAAGCAGGATCAGCCCTGGTTGAGACTTGGATGGGGACCACCAACAACAACCAGGATTCCATAGCATTGGACCATGGCAGTAAGTAAGGTGTCAAACCCTGCCTGATCTTGGAAGTTAAGCAGGATCAGCCCTGGTTGAGACTTGGATGGGGACCACCAACAACAACCAGGATTCCATAGCATTGGACCATGGCAGTAAGTAAGGTGTCAAACCCTGCCTGATCTTGGAAGTTAAGCAGGATCAGCCCTGGTTGAGACTTGGATGGGGACCACCAACAACAACCAGGATTCCATAGCATTGGACCATGGCAGTAAGTAAGGTGTCAAACCCTGCCTGATCTTGGAAGTTAAGCAGAATCAGCCCTGGTTGAGACTTGGATGGGGACCACCAACAACAACCAGGATTCCATAGCATTGGACCATGGCAGTAAGTAAGGTGTCAAACCCTGCCTGATCTTGGAAGTTAAGCAGGATCAGCCCTGGTTGAGACTTGGATGGGGACCACCAACAACAACCAGGATTCCATAGCATTGGACCATGGCAGTAAGTAAGGTGTCAAACCCCGCCTGATCTTGGAAGCTAAACAGGATCAGTCCTGGTTGGGACTTGGATGGGGGGCCACCAACAAATCCCAGGTGGGTTAGGTAATAGTTTAGTGCAAGGGTCTGGCAGAATCACCTCTGTCTTCCTTGCCTAAGAAATCCTATTACGTTCATGGGGCTGCCATACATCAACAGGAGATTTGAAGGTATGCATGCATACACAAAACTGGGTGGCTATCTTTTGGGAGGGATTGGATGTTGTCTTCCTGCCTGGCTGAATGGAGTTGGACTGGATGATCTCTGAAGACCCCATCCAACTCTAGGATTCTAGGATTCTATAGAACAGAGAAATTGCTTCCATGTATTGTCAAAGGCTTTCATGGGTGTAATAACTGGGTTGCTGTAGGTTTTTCGGGTATTGTGGCCATGTCCTAGAAGCATTCTCTCCTGACGTTT